TGTTTAAAAAAAACCCAAACCCCGAGCTTCCTGGGAACGGTTTTAAAATTAAAGGGAGCATTGAGGGACAATGGGTGACAAATAGTTAATAGAAAATGCATCCCCGGTGAATTATTACAGGATTGCTCCATGTAACGGGTGCAAAGTTTGCCAGTATTAAAGGGGCTATGCTGTAATTACTAGCAAACTTCATACCCTTGCATGAAAGAGTCCTGTAATAATTCACACAAACCCCCCTGCATATAAGTACATGTGTATAATTACAGCACCCCCCCATGTAAGCACATGTGTATAATTATAACACCCCCCCCCAAGTAATCAGGTGTGTGTGTGTTGTAATTATACATGTGATTACATAGGGGGTGTTATAATTATACACATGTACTTACAGGGTGGGGGTATTTATGTGAATTATTACAGGATTGTTTCATGTAAGGGTATAAAGTTTGCCAGTATAAAAGGGGCTGTGCTGTAATGATACACATGTGATTACATAGGGAGTGTGTGTGTGTGTGTGTGTGTTACAGACCCTACTCCCCCTATCCCTACCCCAGGGCTCAATGCAATCAGGATAAGCGGGCTCGGTGCTGGAAGCAGCATAGCCTCATTAGCGCAGCGCTCCCCTGGCAGTGAGTAACCAGCCCTGCTGAGACTCGGGACCTACCCAGGACAGAGCATCACATTAACGGAGCTATGTGCTGTTAAGCTCCTCCACCAGCTCAGGTATCTCTATGAGGCCCTGCATTAGGCTGCTTAGACCTACTTAGCAAGAACCCGCACCCCCATGCCAGGTTCAAGTTTCCCTTTCCCAGCAGGTCTCAGCAGCCTCAAGAGCACAAAACCACAGCTTCACCCGTGCCCATGCAGAGATGCAGCTCCAGAGTCCGCATGTGCAGGACCACAACCCGTTCCCCTTCAAGGAAAGCTGCCGCTCCTGGCTAGAGTTGAGAAACCCCTCGCCTGCCTCAAGGGGACAAGGCACCGGGATCTGGGGAGGGTTACCTGCACCTACTGAGGTTTTTAGGTGCACCAGTCACTCTCCTGCTATAAGCCTCATGACTCGTATCCTAAGGCCTGGGCTCCTTCCACCTGCGTGAGTCCAACCAGTGGTGAGTGTGGAAGTGCTGCAGGTTTGCACCTGATGCAAAGGGTTGGGGAGCTCATGGAAGCAAAGAGCACTTCTGTTAAAGGGGCTTCGTGTGCAGTGCTTGCTCCTGAGGGCTGCAGACCACCTCACTCACCCACTCACAACCCCCTTCAAAGGCACTACGTGCAGGACTGCAGATCGGGCCCTTGGCTAGTGTTACGGCATCCTCCATCAGGGCCTTGGTGGGGAGTGAGCCTGGGGCTGGAAGCATTCAGGGGGAAATCCACCCCTCTGCAGAGAATATAGTAGGGCTTATATCATGAACGTCACCCTGGCATCCTGGGCTCTCTCTTGAGACACAGGGGCAGCTCAGTTCAGTGGTCACAGGGTCTAGCTCATAGAGCAGCTCAAGAAGAGGCCATGGTCTAGCTAGCCATCATCTGGCACCCAGTCCATGCTGAGCTCTTGTAACCCAAAAGAGTTCAAATCCCACCACTGCCAGCAGGGGTTATGCCCTATCTAATACAAAGGTATCCAGGTTGTAGCCGTATTGGTGTGGAGGTGATGTCTTTTAGTCAGCTCGTGCAATCTGATTGCAGGTCTCACCAAACTTGGGGATCTTCTTCTAGCCTTGTCTTGAAAGCTTGAAGTGAGTGACCCCCAGAACACAAATAAAAGAATAATCAAAGCAAATTATTAAAAAACAAAAATCTCATGATTTATAAGTTAATCTTGCAATTTTTTTGCACCTGACTCAATGTTTGGCCAGTAAAGAGTAGAGATTAGCAATCCAAGCATCCTTACGGCTTGGACTTGCAAGTAATAACTGCTTATTACCTGTGCATTTGAGGGCAGCAAGTTGCAATAATTTCTCAGGGGAAAAAAAAAATGAATGGCAAGGCCCATCCTCACCAGACACAGGAGAAGTAATGGTCTTAAACTGGAGCAGGGGAGATTTAGGTTGGATTTGCAGAAGAATATTTAAGACCTGTGGGTGACTGAGCATTGGAACAGGTTCCCTAGAGCGGTGGTGGCAACTGTCATTGGATGTGCCCGACAGGATGAGTATTTGGCCAGGGTGGTTCAGGAGGTTGGAGTGTCATGGCTGTGATGAGGCAGGGAATATGCAAGAAGAAGCAGGGTCTGTTTGGCGATACCAACTTTTGACTGTTGCGTGCTTCTTCCCCAGACCCAAGCAAGGGCCCTCTTGCACCCAAAAGCTCATCTAACATCTTGCCCAGCTGTACAGCTGGTCCAACACACCTTGCTTCTAGGGTGGTTCAGACGGAGGCAATCCTACCTTGAGCAGGCGGTTGGACTAGATGATGCTGCAGCCCTCTATTTCTAGGAGTCTGTGAATCAGAGATTTTTTTTAAGAAGCAGACCTGAGGCTGATTTGTAAAACTTTATTTAGAAATATTCTTGATATAGTCATTATATATATATATATATTTATATTTATATTCGTATGTACACACACATTACAACAAATGTGTTTTCTAAATAGCACATCCACAGTGGGTTGCCTAATCGGCTTTACAAAGATAATAAGGGTACCAGGTCTGGTTACTTAACTTCTGCAAAAAAGTGCAGAAACCACAGGAAGGGGCTGGAAAAGAAAAAAACCCAAAGAGAATTCAATCACACGGTACGACATTGACTGAAAGTGCTGCTTCCAAACATAAACAGGGCGATGTTATATATACCGAGACAAGAAGCAGGCAGGAGAAGAGATGGAGAAGTAGATGTACCATTCAAATCACAATTAAAATACAACTATACATACCCCAGATAGACTTAAGCTGTATTCTGCTAAGAGGCTACAAAGATTGTGTACGTGTATGTGTGTGTGTGTGCGTGTGCACGTGCACACGCGTGCATGTTGAAAGGTTGTACCATCTCTTCAGCTACATATAAAGAAGTGCAGGGGAGAAGGAGATTTTCCAACGTGTTAAATTATTTTTCTTGGAAGAGCTAATGGGAAAAGAGGTAAAAGAGAGTCTTTATTATTTCAAAACCTTAAAAGGCTGATAATGCTTCATCTTGGCCACAGGCTTCCTCCCCCCTCCTCATCTCTCCCATCGCTGGAAGCCTACCATCATCCCCGCCCCCAAATGTCTCAGTCCCGGCGAAGTCTGTGACACCCCTCCTGACTCCCAGAAAACACGGGAAGGTGAAATCCCCCCCTGGCCTAATGGATCACGTCAGTCAGTCCCACTTTCTGACCTGTCTGCAGACATAAGTGGTGCATGTGCAAAGCGGGGTGAGTCCATTGCAAATAAGCAATTTAAGCTTCTTGAAGACGCCAACCCCCCGTGACTTCAAGGTCTCCTCTAGGAGCATTGGCTGGATTGCAATAACCCCAAAAATACCAGCGGATCACACTTTAGGGGAAATACATTTTCATAAATAGACACACTTATAACTGGGAAGAAAGCTGACCCCACACATAGTGATTCCCCAAATAGTATTAACTCACTTCATGAAGCTGGCATTAAAAAGGGAAAGGAGAAGAAGAGATGATTGTACCCCAGAATAAGAATAGGGTTGACCGTACTCTCAACTAAGTCAACTTTCAGGTCTCAACGTTCACCCGCTGAAGCATCTTCATTTCCCTGTACCTCACACCCCGTCATGAGTAAGAGGACAGGTTGTGCACTGTGTCCTCGCATTATTGATTTCCCCTTCGAACAAGGAGGCTTTCTGTGAAAGAGTTGGGGGTTAGAGGCAGAGGATGGGATGGTGTCACTGCTCTAGCATTCATTAGCAATTAGCGAGGGCTCCATTTAAATTGTGCGGTCCATGGGCTAGCTACTTCGCCTATGCCAAACATCATAGCGCATGGAGTCACTGGAACAATACCAGTTCATGGGAGTTGAGAAACTGGCCCGTGGCTTTAAATTGTCGTGCTTGTTCAAAGTGTTTAATAGAGAGCTGCAACTGGGGGTTTCATTCCAGTTTTCAGTGCATCTGGTTGTACGTTGCCATCAGCTTAAAAAAGGACCAAATTCACGGGAACTACTACATGCATTTTTATGAGCCTTGGGGCTTGATGCTTTGCGAGAGAGAACATCAAGACCACCCCGGCGGACAGCCAACGTCAAGACAACCCCAGCCTGCAGCCTTCGGGCAAACAAGACTCCCAGTGACTGGAAGCAAAGAGGCAGACTCAAATGATGAGGCTATTGAACAAAACTGGTATAGGCGAGATAGCCATCATGTTCCTACAATGAAACCAAACCATTCGAAGTCCATAATTAAAACCTTTTTACCTCTCTCATAGACATACACACACAATGTTATTCCACCATTTTCTTTTTAAACTAAGGGGAAAAAAACCAACCAGGTCGACAATTCCAAAGGGGGAAAAAAAAAAATCACTGGCAAATGTTTGCTTGCCCTTAATGAAACGTTTAATCATTGAATCAAGTCCTGTCCCTCTAGAAGCCAACCGGGATCACCTCATTGGCTTCAGCAGGGCTGGGATTTAAGCTCTTTTGTATAATGGGTACAGCTGTGTCAGGGAGAAGAGAAGAAAACATCAATGTACCTTTTTGTTCAGCAGATACGGCATGACGGTATTAAACAGAAGTAATTCCACATCATAAATACAACACCTCAAACAATCCAAAGTTCAATTAGGTTTCGGGTTTTTTTAAAAAAAAAAAAGTCTCAGTCCTTGCAATAGTTTTTTTTGTTTTTTTGCAGAGGGATTGTATCACCTCTCTAGAAAGGTACAGTCAAAAGCTCTCAGACAACAAAAGCGTATTGCCATAGTCTCCATCCAGACAAGTTGCATATACTTCGTGAAGGGCCAGAGAAATGCCAAAAATACTGCGAAGGGGATTTGCAGTGGTTGTTGCCGCCACATGTACTTGGAGAGGATTTGTGGCTTATCCTGGCAGTGAAAGAAGGGGCCTTGTTTCATGTTGCAGGTACACTCTGTTTTAAAAGAGGTTATCATCGAATATTTTGGGGGGGGGACCCTTCTGAATGCTAAAGAGATGACGGCCAGGTTTTTCTCCTTGCCTGTGTTAAATCATGAGCAATATGTACACTAAGACGATGTCAGAGCTTTTCTTCAGTGTCTGATCAAGTACCTAAATATTGGACGTCCACTTGACTCGGTCGTGTTCGCTAACAACCCGCTCTCCGTCCACTTCCAGGACTGCGAGAACTGAAGGAACCGAAGTCCCCCCTTTCTTCCGGGAGATGCGGAGCAAGAAATTGTAAGAGTCCAGATCCAATCGCTTTCCCCTCTCGGTTCAACGAGTGACTGGGAAGTTCATCATCGCTGCGCGTTGCCTTCTACGGGCAGGATGGAGTGATGGAGGCTCCTCGTGTGCTTGGTTTCTAATGCTTCGTGCTCTTCTGTGAAGCTGTCCGGGCTTCCTGCGCCATCCAAAGAGCTTCCACAGCTAGAGTTTGGAGACAACATGTCCTGCAGGAGGTCTTCTTGGACTATCCCAGTGTCTTTGTTCACTTTGCCCCTTTGGTTTCCTTCTTCCTCCTGGTCGTTGAGCAGTTTGGCCAGGAAGTTGATGTATTTCATAGCCAGACGTAAGATTTCATTCTTGCTCAGCTTCTTGTCCGGCGGGTGCGTCGGGATGAGCTTGCGAAGTTCTGCAAAGGCACCGTTGACGTTCTGCTGTCTCCACCTCTCCCGGCTATTGGTAAAAATGCGGCGAACCACTTTTGTATGGGGACCTACAATTACAAAGGAGCAGGTTTAGGAGCAGCACTAAGCAAGCTAATTATTTTGCTCAAAGGGCCATCTTTCCCAGCTTGCCTGACTTATTTTAAGCACCTAGTGATACATTTCTATAAAAGTAGTTTCATTTGAAAAGATACGGAGACACCTACAACCTCCATTCAAGCCAATGGGAGCTAACAAGCAGGCCGGTTTTTTATTACATAAGGATTTAGATACCTAACTTAAACCATGTATGCAAGCATAGCTCTTGTAATAATTAGCAGCCTGTATGCTGCTAGGATAACCCAGAAATAAAGGGCTAATAGAAAATCTCGTGTCTCTTGTATTTTATACATCACTAACTTCTCTTAATGATGGCAAGAGAAAGCAGGAAGGAGCAAAAGACTCACTAGTTCAAGGGTCAGGAAGAGATAGCGAGACTTTCCCACCTAGGTCATTTACTTGATAAGAATTTACAGTGAGCAAGGATCATAAAAGTTGTTGACTCTCTATTCAGTGGCCGTGGTGAAATGAGTTGGTATGACTCACGCTAGTTCCTTGGGGATAAGTAGTGCCATTAAATACGTGTGCGCGCACACATGAACACACACTACTGCCTTGGAGAAAGTCTGAGCAGAGCCCAAGAATTCAGTGATCTCCCTACTGGGTCTAAAAGCTGCCCCTTCAGGGGGACATTGTAGACCATCAGTAGAGGAGCACTAAAGACCCTTACCACCAGGTTGACCAAAGCTACCAGGTCCTGCATATGCATAGGAGGCTGCAATATCCATGGCCATCAATGCAGCCCATTTGTAAAGCTGCACTAGAAACTATAGGTGTTGACTTAGCCTGGCAATCAATGAACTCCAACTGAAGTCACCAGAATAGTAAACGTGGCGAGCTTTGGAAATGAATGTGCTAACATAGGAGAGATATTGGTTGGCCAAATGCAAGGTAATGAAAGGCCAAATGGTTGCAGGTAGCACTGAGCATGATTTGTGATGTGATAGTATCCCCTGCGAATATGAGTGGAGGATGGTATGTGTGGAGAGGAAAATGTAAGCCAAGTGCACAATACCCGTATTTCTGAGAGTGAGCTCAGCAGCCCAGTCCCCTGGGCAAGGGAAGCATGTCATTCGGTAAAGCTGGGCATTCACTTGGACTACTGGAGAGTGCAATTTGTCTGTAAGGAGTAGTACTTTTATATTATTATTATCAGAGACTTTTCTTCTAACATCCACACTAGAGCACTTAAACATTGCTCCTAGAGAGACTCAAGCAACCTTGGCAACAAGGTTCTTTGGGTAAATAGGATATCTTTTATTAGACAAACTAAATAGTTGGAAAAAATGTTCTTTGCAAGCTTTTGGGTACAAACACCCTTCTTCAGGCACAGGGAGTGTCTGCTGCTGCTCCTGGGTGAGAGACAACAGATGCTCCCTGTGCCTGAAGAAGGGTGTGTGTATCCAAAAGCTTGCAAAGAACCATTTTTCCAACTATTTAGTTGGTCTAATAAAAATATCACATTTATCCAAAAAACCTGGTCTGCCTATGCCCTTAGACCAACATGGCTACAACCAACAACCCTCAAGCAACCTTGTGAATCTGGGGGAAGGGCAGTGATCACAGAAACTGCAGGGACAGATGAGACACGGTGTAACACCATGTCTGTATACAATTTTGGGGCACAGCACTGAAGGACAAGTGGCATGACCCTTTTGAGTACCCTTAGATGCTGAAAATTTTGTCTAATTATTCCATCCTGGTGAAAATAAGTCATGGACCTGTGCACACGTAACTCGTCAGCTGTTTTGACGGCCAAGTATTCCAGCTCCCAGCACCTGCACCTGCATCCAGTGACAGTTACCTGCCTGCAGCCCCGTGAGCATCCTGTTTGGGATGTCAGGCTATACCTGGAGCAACTGGGTCCTAACCCACATGATGATGGTTTTGCAATGGGAGCTGCCTATGGATGACTGCCCACCCCCAGTGTAGAGTAGAAAAGAAAAGAAACCCCAAACTCTAGCAAAGGAAATGCTGGCTGCATTTTTTCCCCCCTTCTTTTGAGGAAAATGCCGAGACCTGATATTTGGCATGAAAAATTTATGCTAGTGTCCCGGTGGCTAGACATGCTTCGAAGTAACAGAAGCGCTGCAGCAAGTTAAAGCTACTGACCTCCCCAGACCAAAGTGGCTGCATGGAAAGAAGCAGGGCGTTCTGTAATGTTTTCCAGGAGCAGCATAGCTCAAATGCACCATTGAGGCTTCCCATCCCTCCCCTCCATGGAAAAAAAAAAACCCCATTCAAAATAACAACAGCATACAGCAGCAGAAAATGGGACTAACTGAGATGAACCGAGGCCCACCCGAGCCTCCCTCCCCACCCTGCAATCGCAGGCCATTGATCGTGTGGGATACGCCCACCTGATCCTAACAGATGATCCCTGCTCAATGCTCCAGAGGAAAGCCAAGGAGTCTGCCAAGGCACCGTGGGGGGACAATGTCCTTCCCGCCCCCAAATCTGGAGCTCAGTTCAACCCTGTGCATGACAGCAAGCATCACCAAAATTAAGTTAAAACAGAAGGCTGCAACTTTCCTCTCCGTCTCCTTAGGGGAGCTAGAGGGTTGAGCCCTTATCTGAACAC